GTCCACACACGTCCACACGTCAACGTCCAACACACACATGTCCACACACACACATCCCACACGTCACACACACCCACACACGCCACACACGTCCACACACGTCCACACACGTCCACACACGTCCACACACGTCCACCACACACATGTCCACACACGTCCACACACGTCCACACACATCCTCCACACACGTCCACACACGTCCACACCACGTCCACACACACGTCCACACTCACACACGTCCACACACGTTCCACACACGTCCACGCACGTCCACAAACCACACACGCCACACAGTCCACACACACGTCCACAACGTCCACACACGTCCACGCACACCACACACGTCCACACACGTCCACACACCATGTCCACACACGGTCCACACAGTCCACCATCCACACAGTCCACACACACACATGTCCACACACGCCACACACGTCCACACACGTCCACACACGTCCACACACGTCCACACACGTCCACACACGTCCACACACGTCCACACACGTCCACAACACACGTCCACACACGTCCACACACGTCCACCACACGTTCCCACATGTCCACGCCGTCACGTCCACACATGTCCACATGTCACGCACGTCCACACACGTCCACACACGTCCACACACGTCCACACACGTCCACACACGTCACACCACACGTCCACACGTCCACGTCCACACACGCCACACACGTCCACACACACACGTCCACAACACCACACACGTCCACCACACCACGTCCACGCACCCACACACGTCCACACACCTCCACACACGTCCACACACTCCACACACACACTCCACACACGTCCACACACACTCCACACACGTCCACACACGTCCACCACACACGTCCACACACGTCCACACACGTCCACAACACCAACACGCCACACATTCGTCCACACACGTCCCACGTCCACACACGTCCACACACGTCCACACACACGTCCACACGTCCACACACGTCCACACACGTCCACACACACGTCCACACACGTCCACACACGTCCACACACGTCCAAACACACGTCCACACACGTCCACACCACACCACACACGTCCACACACACACACGTCCACACACGTCCACACACGTCCACACACACGTCCACACACACATCCGTCCACACCACACACGTCCACACACACACGTCCACACACGTCCACACACGTCCACACACGTCCACACACGTCCACACACCACACACGTCCACACACACACGTCCACACACGTCCACACACACACGTCCACACACGTCCACACACACATGTCCACACACGTCCACACACGTCCACACACGTCCACACATGTCCACACGTCCACACACGTCCACACACGTCCACACATGTCCACACACGTCCACACACGTCCACACGTCCACACACGTCCACGTCCACACACGTCCACACACGTCCACACACGTCCACTTGTGTCCCTCGTGTCCAATGGTGTCCACTCTAGGGCTGTCAAAACTATTAAAATCAGATCTTAATCGATACTAAAACTAATTCTTCTCAGGTTTGGATTTTTAAAAAAGTCCCATTGACAGAACAGAGCAGAACTTTTAGAACGTTTCCTGAAAGTGTTTAGAAAGACCTGGAGCTGGACCAGAACAAGTGTAAGAGAGAGACTAGAACACACACATGGACCTGGTTACCTGGGTTTACCTGGTTTAGTCCTGGTTTAGTCCTGGTTTAGACCTGGTTTAGTCCTGGTTTAGTCCTGGTTTAGCCTGTTTAGTCCTGGTTTAGTCCTGGTTTAGTCCTGGTTTAGTCCTGGTGTCCTGGTTTAGTCCTGGTTTAGACCTGGTTTAGTCCTGGTTTAGTCCTGGTTTAGTCCTGGTTTAGTCCGTGTGTGTGGGGATCTGGCCTCATGTGGTCGAAGATGCAGAATAAAAAAACTGTTGAAACTGGAGTTTTTACGCAGGAGAAGTTTATTTATCATCAATAATCTGACCCGAGGGACGTGAAAAGTGAACAGAGTTTGATCTTTGAGTGTTTAAGACCCTTGACTCTGTTTCCAGAGGAGGAGGTTTGTAAAGTGAGTGTGGAGGACAAGCCCCAGTGAGACAGAAACATGCCACAGTTTAGAATAAAAACAAGGAGACAGATGAGTTCAATCTACAGTATATGTACAGAGTTTTAACATTTAACAGTTAAAACTCACTGCACCTGAAAAACGGCCTCAGTGTCAAAAAAAGCACCATCATCTAAACGATGAAGATCGTGGTGTAAATAAAACTTTTGTGTGTCAGAGTTAAACTGAAATGTACGTGGAAGATAAATGACTTCAATTCTCTTACAATATTTAAATATTTATCTAATGTTTCTTTATCTACATCTGACAATAAGGATGGAATTTGGTCTTTAAAACCTTTAAAAACTTTCGTCACACGTCACACGTCACACTGCTGGTTCAATCGACTTTTTTCCCCTTGTCAGAAGTGTCCTGCTGTGTGTAAATGTGTGTGTAAATGTGTGTGTAAATGTGTGTGTAAATGTGTGTGTAAATGTGTGTGTAAATGTGTGTGTAAATGTGTGTAAAGGATAAACGTTCTTCATGACAACAATTCAATGGTGCATGACACTAAATACGAACAAAAAACTGAACTAAACTAAACCACATGAACAATTTCTCCACAACACACACACACACACACACACACACACACACACACACACACACACACACACACACACACACACACACACACACACACACACACACACACACACACACACACACACACACACACACACACACACACACACACACACACACACACACACACACACACACACACACACACACACACACACACACACACACACACACACACACACACACACACACACACACACACACACACAACACACACACACAAACTCAACTCATGTTCTGATCCTGGAGAAAACAGAAGGAACTTGTTCAGACTCGTTCTACTGTTAGAATCAAAAATCTGTTTCAGGATGTGGAGATTTGTGTGGTTTAAATGTGAGTCTGTGGTTTTGTGGGGACCTGACGTCTGGACTCGTCTTTGGTTTTTGGTGTTTGGTTTTTGAGGACACGTCAGAGCAGAGGTCTTTGGAGGTCTTTGGAGGTCTTTGGAGGTCTTTGGACCTTTCATCGTTTGTGACGTCGGTGAGATTCTGTTGGACTTTGATAAACCCGACGGCGCGAGAGACGGACCAATGAGAGCGCGGCGCGGTGCGAGGCTGCGGCGGCGTCCGGGAGCCCGACGGCGTCTGACTCACGACTCATTTACTGATACGATCAGAGACGACGACGTGACATTTGGACCAACACCGAGCTTTGAAGAACAAAGAGAAGAAGAAGAAGAAGAAGACGATGATGATACCTGCTAATGAGACCAGACCTCAGACCAGGACCAAGACCGGACCACACACCAGAGTCCAGACCAGAGTCCAGACCAGAGTCCAGACCTCAGACCAGGACCAAGACCGGATCACACACCAGAGTCCAGACCAGAGTCCAGAGTCCAGACCAGACCAGAGTCCAGACCAGAGTCCAGACCTCAGACCAGAGTCCAGACCAAGACTAAGACCGGACCACAGGCCAGAGTCCAGACCAGAGACCAGACCTCAGACTGGGACTGAGACCAGAGTCCGGAATCCAGGGCTGAGACCAGGACTGAAACCAAAATCCAGACCACAGACCAGAGTCCAGACCAGAGTCCAGACCAGAGTCCAGAGTCCAGAGTCCAGAGACCAGACCAAAGTCCAGACTAAAACCAGAGTCCAGAGACCAGACCTCAGACCAGGACCAAGACCAGGACTAAGACCGGACCACAGGCCATAGTCCAGACCAGAGACCAGACCTCAGACTGGGACTGAGACCAGAGTCCAGAGTCCAAACCAGAGTCCAGACCTCAGACGAGAGTCCAGACCTCAGACCAGAGTCCAGACCTCAGACCAGAGTCCAGACCTTAGACCAGTCCAGACCTCTAGAGTCCAGACCTGAGACCAGACCTTAGACCAGAGTCCAGACCTTAGACCAGAGTCCAGACCTTAGACCAGGCCTGAGTCCAGACCAGACCAGACCAGAGTCCAGACCTTAGACCAGGCCTGAGTCCAGAGTCCAGGTGTGAGCAGCAGGGGGAGGTGCTGCCCTCTGCTGGACAAACTCTGGACTCACACGTTTCATTTAAACTCAAACTTGAACATGATTTAAATATTAAACAAAAGTTTTGTTGAAATTTTAAACAAACTGAATTTTACTTTTGGTCCAAATAAAAAACAAACTCAGGTTTAAGTTCAGTGTTTTTATTCTTCGCACAAACACAAAACATTAAATCATGATTTGAAATAAAAGACTTTGTTCACATTCAGAAGATTCCAAAATGTTAAAGTTTAAACCAGTTAAACTCAAAGAGACTCTCTGTCCCACCTGGTGATGTCATCAGGTGGAGCTCCTCCCACGTCACCTTCACCTGACACATTCTGATCCTTTCACATAAAAGACGAGGAAATCAAATCTGAGACTGAAAAGACGAAGAATTTACTCTGAAACAAGTTCAGACCAACATGTTCCTTTTACTGTCTGGAACAAAATCACCACGTTTCCAGGAGACTTTTTATTCTGAATTAAATCTTCTCTTGTTGTTTCGTGTTAAACTGGTGAAATGTTGTTATTTAATGTGTCTGGGGGGAACAATTTCTTTGTTTCATTTCAAAGAAAACAAGAGAAAACTTTCAGTTTTGTTTTCAATTTTCAGAAAACTTTTTAAATTTTGGTTTAGACAAATCATTTGTTTTTTTTTGTTTCTTATTTTTCTTTTATTTTTGAACTCCAGACTTTTCCCACATGAAGAATTTTTTTTCTCCAAAAAACAATTCAGTCACATTTACATATTAAAACTTGAATTTCAGTCAATTTAAAATGTGATAGAATTTTTGATTCATTTAAAACAGAATTCAGTTCAGAAAACGAATTAACAGATTCACAGGTTTTATAAGTTTCTGAGTCTCCCCTCCCTTTGCTCTCCGCTCTAAGTCGCTCCCCCTTCAGAGCGTCGCACTCATGAAACTCCTGCACAAACATCAGGTTTTGTGTCGTGTTTTTGTGGGCGGAGCCTCGTACAGACTCGTACTGGAGGGTTTGAACAAGGCCTGGGAGAGATCACTGGATTACTCAAACAAAACCTGTTCAGACGGTTTGTGATGAGGAACATCGTTAGAACGTGAGAGAAAAACTCCTCGTCTTTAACTCGGAGCTCAGACCTGCTCCTGTCACAGGCCAAAAACTAAAGAACAAATATTAAACACAAACATGACCACAAATCTGATCCGTCGCGTTTCCGTTTCTGTTTCTGTTTCTGTTTCGTTTCCGTTTCCGTTTCCGTTTCGTTTCCGTTTCGTTTCCGTCAGAGTTTCTCCTGAGCGTTTGACTCGAGTTCAGGGGAAACTCCACATGAACCTGCACTTCCTGTTTGTGACGCAGATCTGCTTCCAGGTCCAGATCCGGGTCAGATCCGCCGGCGGGACTCGCGTTGGGGCGTTGGGGCGTCGGGGTCTCGGGGTCAGGGGCGGGGCAGGCGGGGGGGCGGGGTCACACAGGGGTCAGAGGTCGCGCCCTCACAGCAGCAGCTCCAGGTCGTGGATCAGAGCGTCGACACTGACCAGAGGAGCTCGCCAGAAATGAAACGCCGAGAACTCCTGAAGCTCCTGAACGCAACACACACACATGTGAACAGGGACATGTGACAGGGACATGTGAACAGGGACATGTGACAGGGACATGTGAACAGGGACATGTGACAGGGACATGTGAACAGGGACATGTGACAGGGACATGTGAACAGGGACATGTGACAGGGACATGTGAACAGGGACATGTGACAGGGACATGTGACAGGGACATGTGACAGGGACATGTGAACAGGGACATGTGACAGGGACATGTGACAGGGACATGTGAACAGGGACATGACAGGGACATGTGACAGGGACATGTGACAGGGACATGTGACAGGGACATGTGAACAGGGACATGTGACAGGGACATGTGACAGGGACATGTGACAGGGACATGTGAACAGGGACATGTGACAGGGACATGTGAACAGGGACATGTGACAGGGACATATGACACAAGACATGTGAATAGGGACATGTGACAGGGACATGTGACAGTCTGTGTGTGAACAGGGACATGTGACAGGGACATGTGACAGTCTGTGTGTGTACAAGGACATGTGACAGACATGACAGTGTGACAGGGACATGTGACAGTGTGACAGTCTGTGTGTGTACAGGGACATGTGACAGGGACATGTGACAGTCTGTGTGTGTACAGGACATGTGACAGGGACATGTGACAGTCTGTGTGTGTACAGGGACATGTGACAGGGACATGTGACAGTCTGTGTGTGTACAGGGACATGTGACAGTCTGTGTGTGTACAGGGACATGTGACAGTCTGTGTGTGTACAGGGACATGTGACAGGGACATGTGACAGGGACATGTGACAGTCTGTGTGTGTACAGGGACATGTGACAGGGACATGTGACAGTCTGTGTGTGTACAGGGACATGTGACAGGGACATGTGACAGTCTGTGTGTGTACAGGGACATGTGACAGGGACATGTGACAGGGACATGTGACACATGTGACAGTCTGTGTGTGTACAGGGACATGTGACAGGGACATGTGACAGGGACATGTGACAGTCTGTGTGTGTACAGGGACATGTGACAGGGACATGTGACAGTCTGTGTGTGTACAGGGACATGTGAAAAGTCTTTGTATAAAACACATTTTTAAATGACCTGGTCCTCATCTAGTCCCGCCTCCTCTGCGCTCTCATTGGTCGGCTCGCTGTCCGTCAGGCCCAGCTCACACAGTTCGCCCAAATCCAGTGCCGCGATTGGCTGCCTCCAGAACAGGAAGGAGTCGAACTCACTGCTCTGCATCTGCAACACAAGACCCGGGTCAGACCTGGTCCTGGTCCAGACCCGGTCCAGACCCGGTCCAAACCCGGTCCAGACCCGGTCCAGACGAGGATCTGGGTTGAACCTGATCTGTTTGTTTACTTCCTATTTAAGTCTCGAGTTATTTATGTTAAAAGTGAAACAGGAACTGAGTCTGAATTTAAACCAACGAGGAACAAGGAGACAAGGAGACAAGGAGACAAGGAGGCAAGGAGACAAGGAGGCAAGGAGACAAGGAGGCAAGGAGGCAAGGAGACAAGGAGACAAGGAGGCAAGGAGGCAAGGAGACAAGGAGGCAAGGAGACAAGGAGGCAAGGAGGCAAGGAGGCAAGGAGACAAGGAGACAGGGAGACAGGGAGACAAGGAGACAAGGAGACACGGAGGCAAGGAGACAAGGAGACAAAGAGGCAAGGAGACAAGGAGGCAAGGAGACAAGGAGACAAGGAGGCAAGGAGACAAGGAGACAGGGAGACAAGGAGAGAGGAGACAAGGAGACAAGGAGACAAGGAGAGAGGAGAGAGGAGACAAGAGAGAGAGAGAAGGAGAGATGATTTTGCTGAGTCATGACTTGTTTCTATTGTTGTTCATCTTTGTGCCCCCCCCCCCCGTCTGCAGACGCTCTGCTCCACCTGGTGATGTCATGAGGTGGTGATGTCATGAGGTGGTGTGAGGTTGAGGTTGAGGTCAGTGACTGAAACGTTCCAGAAGTTTCTCCTGAAGACGTTTGGAGTTTTTATTGTGATGATCAAACATGACACAAAAACATTTTAATAAATCTGTCATCAGCCTTAAAATAAAACCCGGTCCAGTCCCGGTTTAGACCTGGTCCAGTCCCGGTTTAGACCTGGTCCAGTCCCGGTTTAGACCTGGTCCAGTCCCGGTTTAGACCTGGTCCAGTCCCGGTTTAGACCTGGTCCAGTCCAGTCCCTGGTCCAGTCCCGGTTTAGACCTGGTCCAGTGGTCCAGTCCCGGTTTAGACCTGGTCCAGTCCAGTCCCGGTTTTAGACCTGGTCCAGTCCCGGTTTAGACCTGGTCCAGTCCGGTCCAGTCCGGTTTAGGCCCTGGTCCAGTCCCGGTTTAGACCTGGTCCAGTCCTGGTCCAGTCCCGGTTTAGACCTGGTCCAGTCCGGTTTAGACCAGTCCTGGTCCAGTCCTGGTCCAGTCCCGGTTTAGACCTGGTCCAGTCCCGGTTTAGACCTGGTCCAGTCCTGGTCCAGTCCCGGTTTAGGCCTGGTCCAGTCCCGGTTTAGACCTGGTCCAGTCCTGGTCCAGTCCCGGTTTAGGCCTGGTCCAGTCCCGGTTTAGACCTGGTCCAGTCCCGGTTTAGACCTGGTCCAGTCCTGGTCCAGTCCCGGTTTAGGCCTGGTCCAGTCCCGGTTTAGACCTGGTCCAGTCCCGGTTTAGACCTGGTCCAGTCCTGGTCCAGTCCCGGTTTAGGCCTGGTCCAGTCCCGGTTTAGACCTGGTCCAGTCCAGTCCCGGTTTAGACCTGGTCCAGTCCTGGTCCAGTCCCGGTTTAGACCTGGTCCAGTCCGGTTTAGACCTGGTCCAGTCCCGGTTTTAGACCTGGTCCAGTCCTGGTCCAGTCCGGTTTAGACCTGGTCCAGTCCCGGTTTAGACCTGGTCCAGTCCTGGTCCAGTCCCGGTTTAGACCTGGTCCAGTCCTGGTCCAGTCCCGGTTTAGGCCTGGTCCAGTCCCGGTTTAGACCTGGTCCAGTCCCGGTTTAGACCTGGTCCAGTCCCGGTTTAGACCTGGTCCAGTCCTGGTCCAGTCCCGGTTTAGACCTGGTCCAGTCCCGGTTTAGACCTGGTCCAGTCCTGGTCCAGTCCCGGTTTAGGCCTGGTCCAGTCCCGGTTTAGACCTGGTCCAGTCCTGGTCCAGTCCCGGTTTAGACCTGGTCCAGTCCTGGTCCAGTCCCGGTTTAGACCTGGTCCAGTCCTGGTCCAGTCCCGGTTTAGACCTGGTCCAGTCCCGGTTTAGACCTGGTCCAGTCCCGGTTTAGACCTGGTCCAGTCCTGGTCCAGTCCCGGTTTAGACCTGGTCCAGTCCCGGTTTAGACCTGGTCCAGTCCTGGTCCAGTCCCGGTTTAGACCTGGTCCAGTCCCGGTTTAGACCTGGTCCAGTCCCGGTTTAGACCTGGTCCAGTCCTGGTCCAGTCCCGGTTTAGGCCTGGTCCAGTCCCGGTTTAGACCTGGTCCAGTCCCGGTTTAGACCCGGTCCAGTCCCGGTTTAGACCCGGTCCAGTCCTGGTCCAGTCCTGGTCCAGTCCTGGTCCAGTCCTGGTCCAGTCCCGGTTTAGACCTGGTCCAGTCCCGGTTTAGACCTGGTCCAGTCCTGGTCCAGTCCCGGTTTAGACCTGGTCCAGTCCCGGTTTAGACCCGGTCCAGTCCTGGTCCAGTCCTGGTCCAGTCCCGGTTTAGACCTGGTCCAGTCCTGGTCCAGTCCCGGTTTAGACCTGGTCCAGTCCCGGTTTAGACCTGGTCCAGTCCTGGTCCAGTCCCGGTTTAGACCTGGTCCAGTCCCGGTTTAGACCTGGTCCAGTCCCGGTTTAGACCTGGTCCAGTCCTGGTCCAGTCCTGGTCCAGTCCCGGTTTAGACCTGGTCCAGTCCCCGGTCCAGTCCCGGTTTAGACCTGGTCCAGTCCCGGTTTAGACCCGGTCCAGTCCCGGTTTAGGCCTGGTCCAGTCCGGGTTTTAGACCTGGTCAGTCCTGGTTTAGGCCTGGTCCAGTCCCGGTTTAGACCTGGTCCAGTCCTGGTCCAGTCCCGGTTTAGACCTGGTCCAGTGGTCCAGTCCCGGTTTAGACCTGGTCCAGTCCCGGTTTAGGCCTGGTCCAGTCCCGGTTTAGACCTGGTCCAGTCCCGGTTTAGACCTGGTCCAGTCCCGGTTTAGACCTGGTCCAGTGGTCCAGTCCCGGTTTAGACCTGGTCCAGTCCCGGTTTAGACCTGGTCCAGTCCCGGTTTAGACCTGGTTCCAGTCCTGGTCCAGTGGTCCAGTCCTGGTCCAGTCCCGGTTTAGGCCTGGTCCAGTCCCGGTTTAGACCTGGTCCAGTCCTGGTCCAGTCCCGGTTTAGGCCTGGTCCAGTCCTGGTCCAGTCCCGGTTTAGACCTGGTCCAGTCCTGGTCCAGTCCCGGTTTAGGCCTGGTCCAGTCCCGGTTTAGACCTGGTCCAGTCCGGTTTAGGTCCAGTCCTGGTCCAGTCCTGGTCCAGTCCCGGTTTAGACCTGGTCCAGTCCCGGTTTAGACCTGGTCCAGTCCCGTTCCCGGTTTAGTCCTGGTCCAGTCCCGGTTTAGACCTGGTCCAGTCCGGTTTAGACCTGTCCAGTCCTGGTCCAGTCTTGGTCCAGTCCCGGTTTAGACCTGGTCCAGTCCCGGTTTAGACCTGGTCCAGTCCCGGTTTAGACCTGGTCCAGTCCTGGTCCAGTCCCGGTTTAGACCTGGTCCAGTCCTGGTCCAGTCCCGGTTTAGACCTGGTCCAGTCCCGGTTTAGACCTGGTCCAGTCCTGGTCCAGTCCCGGTTTAGACCTGGTCCAGTCCTGGTCCAGTCCCGGTTTAGGCCTGGTCCAGTCCTGGTCCAGTCCCGGTTTAGACCTGGTCCAGTCCTGGTCCAGTCCCGGTTTAGGCCTGGTCCAGTCCCGGTTTAGACCTGGTCCTGGTCCAGTCCCGGTCCTGGTCCAGTCCCGGTTTAGACCTGGTCCAGTCCCGGTTTAGTCCTGGTCCAGTCCCGTTTAGACCTGGTCCAGTCCCGGTTTAGACCCGGTCCAGTCCTGGTCCAGTCCCGGTTTAGACCTGGTCCAGTCCTGGTCCAGTCCCGGTTTAGACCTGGTCCAGTCCTGGTCCAGTCCCGGTTTAGACCTCCTGGTCCAGTCCTGGTCCAGTCCTGGTTTAGACCTGGTCCAGTCCGGTTTAGACCTGGTCCAGTCCCGGTTTAGACCCGGTCCAGTCCCGGTTTAGACCTGGTCCAGTCCTGGTCCAGTCCTTTTGGGTCTCTGGTTTATTTCAGTCTAATTTCTTGTTGGATTTGGTCCCGGTTCTGGACGTATTTAACCTCATGATTCTGAGAAGGTTCTAGATTCAGATTTAACACTTTACACCAGTGTTTAAATTTGATTTAGTCCTGGTTTAGTCCTGGTTTAGTCCTGGTTTAATCCTGGTTTAATCCTGGTTTAGTTCTGGTTTAGTCCTGGTTTAGTCCTGGTTTAGTTTTGGTTTAGTTCTGGTTTAGTTCTGGTTTAGTCCTGGTTTAGTTCTGGTTTAGACCTGGTCTAGACCTGGTTTAGTCCTGGTTTAGTCCTGGTTTAGTCCTGGTTTAGACCTGGTCTAGACCTGGTTTAGTCCTGGTTTAGTCCTGGTTTAGTTCTGGTTTAGTCCTGGTTTAGTCCTGGTTTAGTTTTGGTTTAGTTCTGGTTTAGTCCTGGTTTAGTTCTGGTTTAGACCTGGTCTAGACCTGGTTTAGTCCTGGTTTAGTCCTGGTTTAGACCTGGTCTAGACCTGGTTTAGTCCTGGTTTAGTCCTGGTTTAGTTCTGGTTTAGACCTGGTTTAGTCCTGGTTTAGTTCTGGTTTAGTCCTGGTTTAGTCCTGGTTTAGTCTTGGTTTAGTTCTGGTTTAGTTCTGGTTTAGTCCTGGTTTAGTTCTGGTTTAGACCTGGTCTAGACCTGGTTTAGTCCTGGTTTAGTTCTGGTTTAGACCTGGTTTAGTCCTGGTTTAGTCCTGGTTTAGTTCTGGTTTAGTCCTGGTTTAGTCCTGGTTTAGTTTTGGTTTAGTTCTGGTTTAGTTCTGGTTTAGTCCTGGTTTAGTTCTGGTTTAGACCTGGTCTAGACCTGGTTTAGTCCTGGTTTAGTCCTGGTTTAGTCCTGGTTTAGACCTGGTCTAGACCTGGTTTAGTCCTGGTTTAGTCCTGGTTTAGTTCTGGTTTAGTCCTGGTTTAGTCCTGGTTTAGTTTTGGTTTAGTTCTGGTTTAGTCCTGGTTTAGTTCTGGTTTAGACCTGGTCTAGACCTGGTTTAGTCCTGGTTTAGTCCTGGTTTAGACCTGGTTTAGACCTGGTTTAGTCCTGGTTTAGTCCTGGTTTAGTTCTGGTTTAGACCTGGTTTAGTCCTGGTTTAGTTCTGGTTTAGACCTGGTTTAGTTCTGGTTTAGTTCTGGTTTAGACCTGGTTTTAGTCCTGGTTTAGTTCTGGTTTAGACCTGGTTTAGTCCTGGTTTAGTCCTGGTTTAGTTCTGGTTTAGACCTGGTTTAGTCCTGGTTTAGTCCTGGTTTAGTTCTGGTTTAGACCTGGTTTAGTCCTGGTTTAGTTCTGGTTTAGTCCTGGTTTAGTTCTGGTTTAGTCCTGGTTTAGTCCTGGTTTAGTTCTGGTTTAGTCTGGTTTAGTCTGGTTTAGTTCTGGTTCGGTCTCATAATAAATCTGGCCTAGATTCAAACGGTGGAATAAACCTTATATTTACCGTGTCTCCGGGTTAGATCGGGTCAAACCTCGGCTCCGGGTCTGGTCCTGGTTGAGTCCTGGTTGAGTCCTGGTTGAGTCCTGGTTTAGACCTGGTTTAGTCCTGGTTTAGTCCCGGTCTTGGTTTTTGTTCGGTTTTATTCTGCGGCAGGTTCACGCTCACTGCGCCTGCGTCAAACTCACGGTCTGCAGTAGAGACACATCCGGTTTATTATCTCAGAATAAAATAAAACACGCTATTATTTTATTTTAACGTGTCTTGTACCTATTTTCTCAGTCATTTTTACATTAAAATCTTTTACTTATCTTTTTTTAGAAAATATAATTAATATATTTCAGTGTAAAACTCATTTATTTAGAGGAATTATTTGCTCTGTGCTGTTATTTTGTAAGTCCTGTTTTCCGTTTTCTGTTGTTTTAATATTTACAATTTACTCCGCGGCTTCAGACCAACGCCCTTCATTTAAAACCCGTTTTTTTCTATCTCATTATTATTATTATTATTATTATTATTATTATTATTATTATTATTATTATTATTATTATTATTATTATTAGTCTATTTTTAGTATTAAACACTGAATAATAATATTAGATAAATATATAAATATTAATATTAAAAAATCCTTCCTAAGGCGTCACTTACCAGTTGTACATCTTTATAAAGAGAGAACGTGTTTTTATTTTTGTTATATAAGTTTAAAACACGGAGCTTAGATCAGACCAAAGCCCAAATATGAAAATATGATCTGAAATTAATTTTAAAACGTAGTAAAATTCTATCATATTGTGTCTAAATAAATCGTGAATGTGTTAAATCGTATAAAACAGTTGTTAAACACCTAAACGAGCCTCTAAATGAACCTAGAATAAAAATAGACTAAATACAATAAGCGTGAACCCGGATGAGCGCGGCGCGGCGGTGGCGCCCCCGCGGCGGCTCCGTGTCACTGCAGCTCAGAGGAAACGGCGGAAAAGACAAAAAAGACACGCCTCAAACCGGGACCAAACCGAGACCAAACCAGGTCTAAACCAGGTCTCAGCCAGGTCTAATCCAACTCTGAACCGGGTCTCAAACAGGACCGAGGCGGGACGGACCGGGCTGAACCAGGACCGGACCAGGACACGCGGTTTTTGGTGAGTTTTACAGATTTTTTTTCCTTTGGAGCAAAGTGAAGTTAGAAGGAAACGAGAAAGGAGCGAGGAGACACAAGGAGGAAGCGAGGAAACGAACGGCTCTAGTGAAGGAATGTGCCCCGAACCGGACCAGAACCGGACCAGAACCGGACCAGGACCGGACCAAGACTGAACCAGGACTAAAAAGGACTAAACCGGGTCTAGACCGGGTCTAAACAGAGACTAAAACAGGATCTAAACCAATCCGGGACTAAACCGGGACTTAAACAGGGTCTGAACCGGGTCTAAACCGGATATAAACCGGGTCTAAAACAGGACTAAACCAGGACTAAACCAGGACTAAACCGAGTACAAACCGGGACTAAAACAGGGTCTTACCCAAGACTAAACCGGGTCTAGACCAGGTCTAAAAGAGGACTAAATCAGTATTAAACCAGGTTTAACCAGAGTCTAAACCAGGACTAAACCAGGTCTAAGAAAACAGAATAATTTCAGAATAGTTCTGTTTTATACTAAGATCAAACCAGAAGTTGATCAAGACTAAACCAGGTCTAGGGTCTAGAGAAAGTCTAGAGGAGGTCTAGAGGAGGTCTAGAGGCGGTCTTGGGTCTAGAGGAGGTCTAGAGGCGGTCTTGGGTCTAGAGGAGGTCTAGAGGCGGTCTTGGGTCTAGAGGAGGTCTAAACCAGGTCTTGACGTGTGTGAGTTTTTTGGGCGTGAGGAAACTTTGACTCGTTTCAGCAGAAAAACCACAATTATATTTTTACAAAACAATCATCAGACTTTAGTCTGCGGCCAGTTTCACTTCCTCCTGACAAACTCTGATCCCCACACAGTCAGATGCCCTCCCATGTGTGTCAGGTGCCTCCCGTGTGTGTCAGGTGCCCTCCCGTGTGTGTCAGGTCCCTCCCGTGTGTGTCAGGTGCCCTCCCGTGTGTGTCAGGTGCCCTCCCGTGTGTGTCAGGTGCCCTCCCGTGTGTGTCAGGTCCCTCCCGT